CCATGTACAAATACCTCTCTCATACTCAAAATTGCTCTATTTTCACTAATAAAACCAAACACAGCAGTTTTGACCCCATTTTCGGGTAGAAAAGAGAGCCATAAGTGTGTATCCCCACCACTACAAAGAAGAGAAAATCACTCTATTTTTGTTGCCATTAGCAGCAAAAACAGAGCAATTTTGACCCCTTTTGCTGGGAGGAAAGGAATAATGAAAGGACTTGCCTTCTCTCTCCCCCTGCTAAGAGGTAGGGAACCTTTTTATTATTAATGGCTCTTTGCCTTCTTTGTTTTTAACTCCTCCTGTATCACCAGCAGCTCTTCTTTTATTGCTTCTATTTCCTCTTCCATACTGCACTTGCCTCTCTACCTCTCCCAGACCAGCTGCAGGATCACTGCACAAGCCAGCTAGTTGAAACTGCATTTAGTGTGCACCATTTTAAACTAGAATTTGCTCCCCTACCCTAGAGAACCAATCAATCACAGGAAATAGCAACTGCTGATTGGTTCAACTCACCACTGTGCTGTTTAAAATGTTTAAAAATGTTTAAAATGGTACATAAATAGCTGCAGTATAATTTTTTAGCCTGCTATATAACCTTTTCCTGATCTAAGATTATACTTTTTGGACACTCTACTTATTGGTCCCTCATAGAGGAGCATCAGAGAGGGAACCACCTCAGTAATGACCATTACTCTAAGAAATTCCCTTCCAAGAGTTAGTTAAATCTGGTGCTGTTTTAATGTATGCTTTATAAACATTATTTATTCTCTTTGGTTTTTAACTGAAAAAATTTTTATGGCCTTATTTTTATTCTTTTGTTTTAAAATATTATACATTTTAAGATATGTTTAAAATTTACAAATTATGTTACAATTTTATATTGTATTCTGCTTTAAGACCATGATCTTAAAAGGCACTTAAGAAATGAATAAATAAAAAGTTTTAAACAAAAACATTAAGGCACTTTGAATATTAGAAACAGTCACATTAAGAATAAAAGGGCAAGAGGACATTGCAAATCACACACAGACACACACACACACTCATACACATAAAACAATTTAAATTCTTCCCCAGCCCTTTTTTGTCATTCCTCAAAAACATCTCTTTATGGACATGAACTCAATCACTAGAAATTATTGCTAAAAATTAAAACATGGTACATTTAGAATATGATTAGTCAAGATTACTGCCCCAAATATTGTAACACTATACTTAATTAGTTTAGCACTCCACTACTGAGATGTTTTGAAGGAATTTTACAAACCATGCCAGATTTGTTACAAAGCAATTCACTCTGACTTGCATGCTTCCATTTTTTTTTTTTAATATAACCTGGGCGTGAAGTTGTACCCCGTTTCTACTAACAGTCACCAGTGTTCTTATCCTCAATTTGTTGTGTCCTTTTCTGAACCCAGTTAGATTGTTTAATTATACAACACCCCATTTAAATTTCATTAACCCTGATTATACACTGGAAAAAGCATCAGTCTGCATACATGTGGTTTTTTTCATTTCCTGCTCATGCAACAATTCTTTGGTTATGGAAGAGCCACTGAGACTGCAATCCGCCAGCCTCTACTCCCACATAAATCCAATTGAAACAATTAAAAATTGAGCAAGAAAAGGAGATTATGGTGCTTTACAAGGCTAAAAAGATGCCCCCTGCCTATTTTATATCACTTCAAAAACCTTTTCCTATGAACATTCTGTTTTAGTATCAGAGGCTAGCTAGTGGAAAACTACTTGAAGTGACTTAGGATAAGAATTTAAAATAAGAATAGTAAGGAAATTTCAACTGCCCTCAGCAATGTGCATGTCACGATAGAAAAATGAAAGAATTTCTGGAAAAAGCTTCCTTCCTTCTCAACTCATGTAGCCATAGTAGGAAGGAGTCAAACAGGAAAAGAGCAGATAAGACAACTATAGCTGTTAAATCCAAAACTGCAAATCGTCTCTTTCACCATTTGTTCCTGCCTTCCCTGTCAAAAAAAAAGCAAGAAAGATTCAGCAGAAATGATGAAATGTGTGCCTATCTTATCTGAATGACTTTATGAAGTTCTGAATTTTCTTTGGTTCTGTTTTGTGGTACTTTAACAGGTTTATCTCCACTGTTTTAGGTTCTGTTGCTTTTAATTGATTGTTTTATTATTTGCTTCTATTTACTGTAACAGTGTATTATTACATGTCACCCTAAGAGCTGCTGCTATGGATGGACTAATAATTTTTAGAAATTAAATAAAAAATAAATATGGGTCAGTGCTGAAAGTCCCATAATTCAGCTGTTGCCACTTGGATCTGTTACTTTTATTCTAAATTTAGTCAACCATTAATACAATTGTACACCAAATTCTTTGAGGCACATATTTTGCAAACCAAATTGTATAGACCACATATTTGTCTCCCCAATAAATTCAGCACCAGCAGACCAGAGAGTGGAAAGTATACTGGAAGTACAGCCTTCCATGTGTCATTGTGCATGTCAACAACACAATCCTATTATGACAAATGGACTGTGTAAAATTTTATTTCATCCTAAGTCACCAAAGTTGTGCCAAGGATAGCAATTCTATCCAGTTACCTGAACTATTTCTCCTGGCTGACTGTTATAAGAATGGTAACTTTTGAGAACAGCGGTCTAGTTTTTCCTCTGCTTGTCCTATATCTACTTCCTTTGTGTGTTGCATTTAAAGCACTTAAGTCTGAGAACTGGTACCTGCATAATACTGATCTTCATGAATTTCCATGTGAGGCTTTTTGGCTGAATAATGAATACTATTTATATAAATAAATTTATATAAAAAAAATACTATAGCATTTACACTATCCTATAAATACTAGAGTATTTATTCAAGCCCTTGCCCAGCTTAGGCTGATGCACCAGTTGTGACCCTACAGGGATCAGGGAGCTCTGACAGCATTAACCTACACTAGCATCACCACATGGTTTGACTATGCAGAGTGCTCTAGATGAGGCTGCTCAGAAGTTACAGGTGGGTGCAGAATGCAGTAGCCAGGCTGCTGGCAGATGAGACTCACTACTACAATATAACACCAATTTTTGATGGCTACACTAGTTACCAATAGGCTTCCAAATGCTAGTTTTTACCTATAAGACCCTTAACAGCATGGCTCTGAGCTATATCAGGAACCATCTTTTCCAAAATGATTCTGCCTGTTGTGTCAGGGCCTCCTTAAAGTCCTGCCTCCCTGCAAGGGAGGTAAAATGTTGTGGAGCAGAAGGCTGACTTTCTCTCTGTTAGCCCTGATGATTTTAAAACACCATAGCGTCAGAGCTACATTTTGTCTCCCTCATTACATCTCACAAGGCAGGAAAAAGAAATTCAATGAGTGGTGACTTGGCTGCCATTGTTCTTTTTATATGTTTTTACACATTTCTATATGGGGTCACTTTATATTGTGATGGGTGGATGGGATCTATGATGTATGTTTTTAATGATATTTTGCTTCTGCACACTGCCCTGAGTCTGGTGATACAGCCAGTATAAAATGCTTTTAATAAATAAATAAATTTTAACTCCATTTATGCATTTATTCCACTTCAAATTTTGTTTCTTCTATACATATTCATTTATTTACAATATTTGTATGTTGTTTCCTATTGAAGATGTTACAATCACATTTACATTAAAACAGTTACTATAAGACATGTACATAAAAATGGAAGAGACTAAAAACAAGCAAAATCTTTACTATGCACATTCTTACATTTCCGTATGCCCATATTATTACGGGAGAAAGCCCCCTGCTCCCTTGGGGTCCTTTTTCTTGCTACTAGCAACACCTAAGACAGAATCCCTATCTGTGGAAGTACACGAAGCTCTGTGACTTTTTTGTTTTGTTTCATTTGACATGGCATTCAGCTAAAATGTCACCACTACAGATATTACAAGTATGGCACTGCAGTATTAGAGATGACTAACTTTGAAGGCATCATTCAGTTTTAATGTTATCATGTTTCTACAACAATGATTCTTAGTGAATCCTCTAAATCATGTATTTAAATAAGTAAACAACTGCCCTTTTTTTGGGAAGGTGGAATCATATTTGATTAAAATGGCTCATATATCACCAACAGAGAGCACTAGAAAGATTATACCTTTGGAAAATATTGTTGCTGTAATTAAATAAGTGAGCATTTGGCATAAAACAGTTCACAAATCTACAAAATATATTTATCCCTGGAACACAACTCTGTTGTATTTTAATTGTTTTGCTCACACTTTTTATCAATTGGTTTGTTAGCTTGACATTATTACATGTATAGAACATGCCACATGAGGGACAAAAAGTAGGGTTCTATTATCAGACTATTAATAAATTATTCAATTTCATGATGGTTTCATAGTCCATCAGATTCTAAATTACATTATACCAAAAATAAGACAGAATTCTGCACAGAAATAATACATTGTAAAACTACATCTTCAAATGGTGTTCAAGCAAATGTGACTGGATCTAAAACTCCAAGTCTGCATATGCTCTCTAACTGAAAATATTTAAACTACAGACTTAACATACTTACCTGGGGCAGAGGGGTGGGATGGGGAATCCCCATACCTCCACTGAATACAGTGGGATACATTTCAGAATAAAAATGCAAAGGATTTCCCCCAAAATTAATATTAACCTCTCTAGAGTAAAATCTTCTACTTGGGAAAGCTTTAATGATGATGCAAGTTACATAAAAGGAGAGTGGGGAACCTGCAAGGACAAGGCATTACGTACTCAGCTAGCAAGCTGGTTCTGCAAGATTTAAAGAGGCAGTTAACACAATACCACATTGGTCAATTCTTCTATTAAAAGCCACAAACTTGCAGATTATCAAGGCCTGGGTAAGCAAGATTATGAGGAAAGGGGAACTCCAGCAAAAGTGCCAAGTAAAATATAATCTATTCACCCCGACGGGTACATGAAATGTTTGAGCCTTTACACTTTAACAATCTCCTCTTTTCAACTACCTTGCAGACTGTTACCTGTTTGTAGTGCCTGTGCTGTTGCCTCCGCTGCTGTGCTTTCTTGACCGGCTCAGTCTCTGCAGTGGCTTTGGGTCCTGCAACCCAAGACTTGTCATGGAAGGGAAGGCTGAGGCATACCCATGTTCACACTCTGCATAAATTATGAGCAAATGGAAACAGAAGGAACAGTCAATAAGAAATAGCATTTTCCAAAGACAACCCCAGCAGAGCCCTGAATGACTTGTCAGGGAGTGCTCTCAGTTTCCAACAATGGTGAGAACACTTGGACATAAAAACCACAGGCGATGCACCTGTTCAGGTAAGGCTGGCTAGCTTAGAGTCCAAATCCCTTTGAGTCAGTCTTGATTCCTGGTGACTGTATGCAGTTTCCTCTCTTTTTTAGAAGTGGTTTCCCACTGCCCTCTTCCTAAGGCTGAGAGAGAGTGAATGGCTGAAAGTCAGCAAGCTGATTTCATGCCTAAGGCAGGACTAGAACTTAAAGCCTCCCAGTTTGTAGACCAGTGTCTTCAATCACTACCCCAAACTGGCTCTCCAGTGTATGCTCCAAGACAATCTTAAAGTCTGCATGAAAGCTTCCTGATCAAAATCCAGAGCACGTTAAAAGAAATTCTGCCACTCTGCTCACATTTCTCCACCTCCTGTGTCTATAGCATGTGAATCTCTTTGGCCCCACTTTTCCCCCGATCCCCAGGCCCTCCCCAAGCAACTGCTCCTTTCAAAACAAGTGAGTTGGACCCTTGTTTCTAGGAGGGTGGGCCACCTCAGTTCCTGCCCCTTCCTCAAAAAGATTACCTCGGTCTCTGCGATCCAGGTATTCGGCTGCCTCCAAAAGGCGCTGGATGTTGATCATCTCTACCCGCTCCATAGCCCTTGGGATGGATGAGGCCTCCTTCCCCCAAACAATTGTGAAGGAGGACTTTGCTGCCTTGCCCCTGGCACTATGGGTGAAATAGACCTTAGTTCTCTGATTTTTCCAAGAGAGAAAAACAATAAGGTAGGAAACAAGTAACTTGGAGGAAGGGTGCCTCTTGTACTGCTTCCACGAAGTTAATCAGTGAGGCGGAAAAAAGAACTGAACAACTCCTGCAGCAGTTACCCTGACTCATGGCCACATCCTACTTCAAAAAAATCTTTCTTTTACCTCCAGGCATTAACAGAGACCCTTCCCACAACTCCTAGTCCTGATTCTCTCCCCTCTGGTCTTGGCTATCCGTCTTCTTCCCCTTTAAACCTCTAGCACTGCGCCCGACCCAGCTTCATACTCTTTCCTCTGTGCCCCAAACATTTAATCTCCCCTCCAACCTCTTCTTAATCTAGCTCTGCATTCTGCCCCCTATCGCCCCTTTCCTCCGTGGCCCCACACCTTTCCTCTCCTCTATCTCGATGCTGCCCCTGCATCCATGGTCCAAGCCCTCTCTCCCAAAGAGCTATCGCTTTCTCCGCCTTCTGCAGCAGATACTGTACGTCCCTGCCTCTTTCACAGTTTGTTTACCTCCGCTTAGAAATCATGGGGGGGAGGGGACGCACATGAGACTTTCGGCCCCAATGCCATTTGGGAAATGTAGTTCTAAGCTTCCTCTCTCTGCAAGTGCGGCGCGTGTGCACGCTTGCATTGTGGGAAGCTTTTCTCCGCGTTACACATACTGGCCGGACGGAGGAGAGCGTATAGCAGTCCTCTCGGTTTAGTTACGGGAGTGGGTATAAGACGGGGAAATCCCTTCCTTGTTTACAAAGAATAGTGGCCATGAAGGTTGGTCCAGTAATAAAATAAACAGAATTCCAGGATTTATGGACAGCTCGTCTTGAGCCTTCCCTTCTAAACAATCAGTTTTAGGATTTGTTTCTATGTTAAGCCTCAAACAGTTACAACACATTGCACATGACCACTCGAAAATAAGTTCCACTGATATCGATGTGAACTATAGCCATGTACTTTTGCAAA